TAATTGATTTTACCCGGCAGAACGAAAGAAGGAAACTCTGCTTTTCAGTCATCTTAGGCCCTTGTTTTTTGACAAACAATGACCTTTCAGAGGTCAAATTGCTGTCAAGAATATGAATTGGCTGCTTCGGAGCAATAAAAGTACATCACTCTATCTTGGCTGGAGAAGTGATGAGGGAGTAAGAGAGGCTTTTCATTTTTTATTTTGCTTAAGCAAAATATCACCCTTGGGTTGTTTGCTGGTGCATTGATACTCAAAATAAAACATGATTGAGATAATACGAACACTATTTCCTAACTACTTAATAAAATAGATGAAAAAAATAATACAAATATATTTTTTTTTATTTAGAAAAAAAATTAAAAAATTAATTTTCTTAAAATATATTTTTCTTTTCAGTATCATAGAACACATGCGTGCGAGGGTGATAAACTAGTAATTTTTTTATTGAGCCTAATCAGCCAAAAATACATTCGCAAAGCAGTATTGAATATTAGCTATTGAGACTGTTCTGAATAAATGTACAGATGTTAATTTTCTATACTTCCAATAAAACAGTTAAATAACAAAGTACTAAAAAAACATCAGTGTTGAAGTAAGCGATGTATCTCAGTTGAGATGAAATTTAATGGGAAAGCTAAAATTTAAATGACTATATAATTTATATGTAGCCAGAGTAGTTGTAAACCAGACCTTCATGGCCAACATTGCAGTTTAGTCTAGAAAGCAATGGCACAGAAACTGGTAATAACCACTATTTGTTCTGAACTATGGAGATTTTGTTCCTGGCTCTACCTATATTTCAAAAAAATTGCTCTCCATAAGTGCACATTGAAGGAGGTCTGGAATACACATTTTATGTGCATGAACAGAGTTTTCTCTTTGGAATTGAGCTGGGAAATGATGACTGACTATTTCCCTATGTACTCAATTCATCAACACTGGCAAAACAGAATATTAAAGGCTTGGTTCTCTTCACCATCAAACCATCAGCGAGGATGGTCTTGAACCAGCGCCGATGTTTAATAAGGATGTACTGTATGTTGTGGTGTCCCTCAACTTCAAATGAATTTGACTTGAAAGTTTAGTCAGAAATTTTTATTTAATACTGGTAATCATTATTTTAAACATTTGCGAAGTGTGTTTGTGTTTAGTCTGTTGTTTGTATAAAATACTATTTTCAAATGTTCTCATGATAAAAAAAAAAGTAATCTTAAACCATACAGTATGCAAGTTGAATAATCTGTTAGTCATTGTACATAGCGTGCAGTACTGGTTATAGTACCACTAAATTACTTCAGAATATTATACTATTAGACTTCATTGTATGTAGCCTGTGCAATAAGAGAATTGGAATAGCAATGATAATCACAATATACTGCTATTCTCAGCTATGCTTCAAGATATTATTATACGTAGCCTATGCAATAAGAGTATTGGAGTAGCACTAATAATCACAATATACTATAGCTATTCTCAGCTACGCTCCAAGATATTTTTGTACATGTATGAGTACCACTAACAATCACAATATACTTCAGCTTAGCATAGCTCCAGGGTTATATTGCTTGAACAGTGAGTGTACAGTAGATTAGTGCAGTGGAAGGTGTGGCTTAAATATTCTAAAAGGAAATGGGTCATTGAATAAAATCAATCATTTGGTCTGAGAAGTTTAGTTAACTTTACCCCTGCATATCACTGAGCTTAAATTATACTCTGCTCCATGGATCATGCCATGTTCGTCTACAAAACACCAGTACAAACAATTAGTTTTAGCGTAAACACCCCAAGGTATAATTCTGAGGAGCATCCATCATTTCTGTGAAGAGTGAAGTACTGTATTATATAGAGTATTTCCACGAAATTTGAATGAATATTCCAGACAAACCTGGCAACTACCACTGGGGGACTTTCAGAGGCCTAGCATTTCGTGCTACATAGTTACCATCATGGATTAAATCAACGATAAAACTAAATTACTAACGAGAAAATATATTATACAGTAATTAGCAAGATCGTATGTTTTATCTACAGCTGCAATAGCATAGGTGAAGCGGTACTCAGGCTTGGTCGCCGAAAGACCGCTAGTGAGTTGTGGGACGTTGGCGACACTGTTTCAAAGTAAATCTGATAAAATGGTCTATAATGGACAATAGATATTCCAGTCTGATCTACACTGGACAAAATAAAGCCCAACACAACCTAGAGCACATGATCCATTTTAAACGTGTGGCACTGCATTGTACATTTTGGATAATTTGACATGATGTTGAAATTTCATTTAGAATACTGTGTTTATAATCAGTTAAAGATGTATTGTCCTTGAAAATGACAAAAAAAGAAAAAATCATAAAAAATAATTTTGAAATTAACCTTGCAACATTCAAATTATTAACTTCAGGATAGAAAATATTGAATTAAAAAATGTGTACCCTGATTTCTACATTGGATTTAATTATAATGAAAATAATAAAACACTTCTAGTGACTAGAAGTGTTTTTTTATCATTTTTCGCTGTAAAATTATGAGTAAACATTTTTTAAATTCACTAATTTATATATTTAATATTTTTTATGTTACTTCAAAATGGTTAAGGTAATTTTTATGTTACTTCAAAATGGTTAAGGTAATTTCAAAAATGATTTTTATGGTATTTTGCATGGGACAAACATGTCTGACAAATCTGAAGAATGAATAATACTGTAATTGCATATGTAAACAAATATATTTTTCATAGAAATTATTTTATTAATTTTCAACTAAAAACATGATAAAATAATACTGTAATTGCATATATAAACAAATATATTTTTCATAGAAATTATTTTATTAATTTTCAACTAAAACATGATAAGAAAAAAATTTCCACATCAAATTAATACTGTACTACTTTTCCTCTTCTTTTAAAGACCCTTAAATTTACTGGTATTAAATTTAAAGATTTTTGTAGATAAATAAATGTGTGTAAAAAGCAGCAAAAACTGCTTCTGGTGGAAGTAATATACACAAAATCGTTCAGAGTACTTATATTGTCAGTCTACTCATTGTCTGTTGGGATGAACATTTCATTTTGATTAGTAATTTGATTACACATTATAAAACAGGAAGATAATATTTCCTGTTTTTTTTTTCTTTAGGGTGGCCTTGTAATATATTCAGATGGCCTGGTATCCAGGTAAAAAATGACAGAATAAGAAGCTGTTGATTGGTTAATAGTACTTACGTTGCTTTTTAGGTTCTGAGGGATTCCGTGAACGAATTGAGAGCAGTATGAAGAATAGAACCAATGGAATGATTAGCTCAAATAAAACAACGATCTAAAAAGGGAAAACAAGAGAGAAAATACAATTTAACAAATAATATCATCAACATAACCTTATATTATCTTTTAATGATGATTATAATGTATTGTAAAATAATAATACTAATTACACAATAATAAAGATTATGGTTATGATATTAAATAAAAATCAGCTTTTAACTAAAATGCCAAGTGTATTTAATAAAACTTGTTTTCTAAAAATTAACATTTAAATACATGCATGTATCCAAAACAATGAATTTTTACAGCAATTGTAGAACTGTTTAATCAACAATAAACAAACCAGATTTAAACTATTCTTGAAAATGTTTACAGTACTGCAACTTTTATCAACAAATTAAATTTAATAC